AAAGAAAATTTAGTCTCAATATATCAATCTTTGTTCAACCCTCTAGTTTTGAGGTCAATATATCTATCTTTGTCCTATGGCATGTTGGTTGAGAATCTCTTCATCTTCATCAACAACATCATCAATAGTACATTTGTTCATCTTCATCAATGTGCTCATCTTCATCCTCTAGTTCTGTCCTTTGTTCATCTTTGTTCAGCCCTTTAATTTTGAGGACAACATATCCATATTCTTCATATGGAATGTTGGTTGATGATGTGTCCATCTTCATCATTGATCCCATTAGCACTTTCTTCATCTTCATTAGTGGCGTGTTCATCTTCATCTTCATTAGTGACATATTCATTTTCATTAGCGACATGTGCATTGTCATTAGTAGTGTACTTGTGTTGATATTTTTTTCTACTATCTAAGATGACCTTTAGCATAATTTATCTTGAGGGGGAGAGTTAAGATTTATAAATCATGATGCACCATGTATGGGAACTTGCTACAATTTCAAAATCATGTATTATATATCGGAACTCAAAACATGATGATGGTTATCATGAGAACTTGTAGCCTAAAGGTTTATTAGGAAATATCATGTAGGGTTCTCCTTCTATATAAAGGCTCAAAATGTCAATGAAAATTATGGTGGTCTCCACTCCATCTACTTTATACTTCCTTCTTTTCATTTCTACCTATCTAGCTAGAAGAAATCTCTTCTTCCACTCCATCTACTTCTTTCCATTTCGATAATAACAACTAACACATTATAGGAGCACCAAGATATGATGCTAGTTGCCTCACTCGCAATGCCTTCACTTTGATGTGAGGTAGACCACATGGTTAAACTTATGCTAGATGCATGTCCTAAAATACATTACCCTCACAAAATTTTAACATATTTGAAAGAATTATGCTTACATTTGATATAACTCTAAAGCTACCTTCATTATTGTGATTCTCCTTTAAAAGGATAAATTTCTAAAATTGCGTATATTACAATGACTTGAATAACACAATGTTAAAGAACAAGTATTTGATGTCTATAGGAGAGCTATTAAACCATTTTCAATGGATTATACACTTCTCGTAAAGTGGTTACTAGTAGAAGGGGGACAAGTAGATTGCAGCATTTATAACTCAAGTATGAGCCATCATGATACCCTTCAACTTCACTAACATGTTTTGACTGTTTTTACACTCATGAGGATCATCTTTTGAGAATAAATCAATATGTTATTTATACTTTACCTTAATGATATTTTAGTTTATGGTCAACTTGGAAGAGAATCTAAAATAATTCTAGATATTGGTGCCAAAGTTTAGAGAAATTACATGTTTGCTCTCAAGGAAAGCTTTTCTTAAACCCCCTTCTGCCATGATATGTCATATAGATGGGTCAAACTAATATCCACACCATCGAGGAGTGGCCAATGCTAGAATGAGATATGGAGTTACATTTGTTCCTTATGCTGACCAACTATTGTTGAAAATTTGTCTAAATATATTCAAGATAGTGAGCCTCCTTTGGCAAATCTTATGAATAAAGAGTGAGTGGTGCCACTAGGTGCTCATACCAAAACACCTTTAATAATATCAAGAGAGAAATGACTAGCGAGCTAGTCTTATTGCTAGACTTTGGACATTCTTTTAAGTTGCATACAAATACCTTAAATGCCATGACTAGTAGTGTGCTGATGTAGGTAGGTGACGTGACTTAGTCATTGTATAGTAAATCACATAGATTTAAAATTTATAAAACTAGAAAAATACTAATTTTTAGATATTTAGAAATATTTTTGAATAAATATATCAATTATAATTTAATACAAAATCTAAAAATAGTGAAAAAATTTCAAGTTGATCACAAAGATGTAATATAATATCGAATAATATTTCAGAATTTTGTTTCTAAGAATAAGATTTTTTACGAATTTTAGATTAAGAAATAGACATGAAATATATTTAAAATTCGTGAAAAAAGGGAAATAAGGGTGCAGATGTCAGGATGGCGTCAGCACCCAACGAATGTGAATCGAGTAGAAATAGAGTTATGTTCAGTGATTCTTACATAAGCGATTACATACAATTTAATTAATCAAATTAAGATTTGTAAAAACTAAATGAATCATAATTAAATGAAGATTAATTTGAAAAGTTTAAATCACACAAATTATTTCTAAATGAAGTAAAAATTCAGTTGAAAGTAAAAAAAATAGAGTTCCGGTGTCACAACAATTATACATCAGTAATGTACCAAAACCTAAGCATTCAGGAGAATTATCGTATAGTGTCTACGGCCTCAAAAGCTCTCCTTGGACAAGCATAACATAGGTATTCTTCTTGCGAAGTCTAGATATCAATAGAATGAGTCGTTGAATCATCTCCAGTGACTGTCATCTGGTAAAGCGAGAAAATGGCAACTTTACAACTCACCAACAGCTGTCACCCGATAGAAAATAGTTAGACAGAGGGGAGCTTCAACCTCAAGTCCACACAACAAGAAGAGGTTCTTCATCGCATTAGTACACTCTTAGGAGATGACAACTTATCTCTTGGCAAATTATCCTCTTTCCGACAATGGCTTGTTCCTCAATCAATCAGAGATGATTTACTCAATGGATTCACGATCCTTTTATCACAAATCATTAAATAATTTTAGTAACGATACTCTGTAAATCATGTTGATGAGATTTTTGTTGATGATTAAGTGATTTGGCAGCGTAATTTTTCATCATCAATCTATAAGAAAATCATAATTTAATCAGATAAAAATACGAGTTCTAGCTCTAATAGGATTCAAACCTATGTTGGTCGTCCGCCTACATGAGAGATAAGGAATAAATTTTCGAATACCCTTATATAGTGACATCATCATGAAATCTTGTTGTTATAAATAAGGGATATTTTAGGTATTAAAATCTTCGAAAACATTCTGGAGAGGGTGGGACACGAGTTTAATCCCACATCAGTTGTACGCCAAAATTTTAGACAAATATAGAGTAATACCAGATTTAAAAGTAATAAGTCACTTTCTCGCATGTGTACAACCACTCCTTGCCCAATAACCAACTTACCACTAGTGATGTGGAAGGGGAGTGACAGACATATGTCCCCATCAGTCCAAAGCCGCTCAAGCCTCTGCTCACAGCTTCGCCCCAACTATGCTTTTGACCTACTTGCAGGCTTGACTAGTCAGCAAGTCCCCACCCTTTTTCTATCTTTTTATTTTCATTTCTTTTTCTTCATTTATTTCAAAAATAGGATTATAAAAATTATAGAAATTCACATAAAATTATATAATTAGCTAAAAAATCACATTAACTACTTTTCAAAATTTAACACAAATATAAGTCTATTTATCACAAGTTAAGGCTAAAACTATATTATTTATTCATTATTAACTCATGATAATAAAGACTTATGAGTAGTCATCTAATTTCCAACAAAAATAAAAACTAATGGTATAGAAGAGGCAATACTCCAAACATGAAATAAAGATCACAAGAATATTACAATCTAGGTTATTTTGATGATAATATTTAAATATTAAATCAACTTGAAGCATGCCATTGTGGAATATGTTTCATACATTGGTACATTAACTGAACGTGTAAACCTATTCATATGACAACATTAACCTTGAAACACTTTGATATTGTGTCACATAAACTTCATACACTAAAATATTAACCTTGATATAATGCATTATTTGACACTACAAATTTGATACACAGAAATATAAATCTTAATACATTTTACTATTATTAAATATTCAATACATTATGCTAATATATTGAAATATTGCCTTTAATGAATGCATGATTGAAATGTCAACTTTGGCATACTATGCTATGCTACAACATAAAACAATCTTCTTGCAATTACATGACTTTCCCAACTTCAAGACTAATTAAAAGTTTCAAAACTCAACATTTTAATGAGCTGAAATTTGAAAAAGTTACAAATGGAAAGCGAAAAATATGCATGCACATATAGCATAATCACTCAACATGTCATTTCCATTCCCTCATTAAGGGACATGAAGTAAAAAACAAAGGCTCCTTCAACATGATTAAAAAATATTTCCCTTAGGTTCCTCTCTCTCCCTCTTTCTAAGAAATGTCCTTCTCCTTTTGAATAAATCTGAAATATATTTTTTATCGAAAAAGTTTCCATTAAAATGCCATGATGTTTCCCCTAATAAAGGCCAAGGCTTTGAAAGACCACTGATGGATGTACATTTTCACCAAACTTTAATGGATCCAATCTCTAGTAGAATAGTGCCATACATAAATTATTAATATAATTTATGTATCCAATGACACCATAATTTTTCCAATGGTTGAAGCAATTTTAAGACCTTTTTGGATGATGAGCGGCATAACTGATTCCACAAACTTAGTTAACTCCATTCCATGAGGACCGTGTATGAGTTGATGCTATGGATTTTAATTAACTAAATTCTATTAAATTTTGTATTTTCCACTATTGTAGTCCATTGGCATCATCCTCACTTCTTAGCCTACTACTTTGAGCATGATTGCCTCCAAATTCAGTTGAGTGCTTGTAAATATAGGCCATTTCAATGGGTTTGATTGGTTTGGCTTCCTTGCATTTACTATAAGAGTTTTTAAAGTATGCTGTTATTTCTGACCGTAAACTAAGTTATTATTAGAAATAAAAAAGAAATGATACGCCTTCCCCATAATGACCAAAAATTGCCTAAAAGCCATCCACGGGGGAAATGGGTCAACCCAACCCAATCTTCCCTCCATCCGAATCGGACAATCAGAAAATTCCCAAAGACCAGGCCCAGTTACCACGCCGATCACCCCCAAGGCCCTCTTCCGTCACTCATTCCTTCACCCGTTCTGGCCCGAATTTCTAGTCACCAAACCAAAGTTTTTATTCAATTAACCTCTCTCTCTCTCTCTCGCTGGCTAAATATATGCATATTCAATGAAGAGATTTGAAGCTTGTTACAGAGGGAGGGGATGAACATTTATTCTTCAGTCCGCTGGGGTCGTCAAAGAGGCGCTTTTCGGCTGAGCCCCAGCGGAGACGCCGCCGCCGTCGGGGACCGCCGAGCTGCAACTGCCGGGCTTGCTGGAGAAGAAGGCGATGCTCTCCGGGGCCTCTCCGAGGAGCCGCAGGGACCTCGGGGGCGGCGGCATGCCCACCTCGACGAAGCCCTCCAAAATCTTCACCACCTGCGTCATCGAGGGGCGGCTGCTGTCGTCGTCTTGAATGCACCAGAAGGCGGTCCTCGCCGCCCTCTCCAACTCCTCCAGATTGGCGTCGCCCTTCAGCTTCGGGTCCAGCAGGGCGGCGATGTCCCCCTCCCCCAGCTTTCGCAGAGCCCACGAGGGGAAGAAGAACCCGGCCTGGTTCTCCTCCTCTCCCTTCTCCTCCGAGTTCCTCCTCCCGGAGATGATCTCGAAGAGCATCATCCCGAAACTGTAGACGTCGGCCTTGGCAGTGATGGGCTCACCGGAGATCCACTCCGGCGCGAGGTAGCCTCTGGTTCCTCTCATGGTGGTCAGCACGCGGCTGAAGTCCCTCCTCACGAGCTTCGCCAGGCCGAAATCAGCCACCTTGGGGACGAACTCTCCGTCGAGGAGAATGTTCTCCGGCTTGATGTCGCAGTGGATGATGCAGTCCCTGCAGCTCTCATGGAGATAAGCCAGCCCCCTTGCGATCCCCAGGATTATCTGGTACCTCGTCTTCCACCCCACCGTCGGCGCTGCCTGGTCTCCGAACAGAGTGTGGTCCAGTGAACCTCCGGGCATGTAATCGTAGACCAACAGCCTCCTCGAGCGATCCGAGCAAAACCCTCGGAGGCGAACTAGGTTGACGTGCTGGATCGTTCCAATGGTGCTCACCTCCGTGCGGAACTGCTTCTCCCCTTGCCTGATCCCCTCCAGCTTCTTGACGGCAACGACGTTGCCCTCCGCCATCGTCCCCAAGAACACCGACCCGAATCCTCCTCCTCCGAGCTTCTCGGAGAAGTTCTTCGTCATCCGGCGGAGATCACCGTACCAGAAGGCGACCAGGCCGCCGTCCGCCACTCGCAGCGCACTGAACCGCCGCCTCCGCCGTCGCCTCCACAGCAGCGCCAACAAGGTGACCATCAGAGCCCCCACCGCTACCGCCGCCCCCACCGCAGCCCCTACGATCTTCCCCTCGCCGGACTTTGAACCTGTAAACTCGGAAGCTGCCAGGCGGAGGAAGAGTCTTCCTCCGTGGTCGCCCAGCTGCCGCAGATTGGCCAGCCCCCCATACCAGACAGAGCACCCGCCGTCGAAGGCGTAGGCTGTGCAGGAGCAGTTCCCCCGGCACGCTGCAGCGCACTCGCCGGTGCTCGCCGCCGGCACGGACCGCCTGTCGTCGGGCAACTCGACGTTTGCCATCTCGTAGAACTCGTCCTCCTCTCCGGCGCCGGCGTCGGCGCAGAGCAGGGGGGTCCTCCTCCTGCAACCCGCTGTGTGGTCGTCTAGGATCCAGCTTGCCGGCGAGGCCTCCTCGAAGCCCCTCAGGCATCCGCAGTGAGGCGCGATCCTCTCGTTGCAGACGCTGAAGGGCCCGCAGAGGAGGTGCACGTCGCACTGCGCCCTCGGCTGCGACCAGAAGAGGATCCACTGCTGCGAGTTGTCCACCCAGGTGAACTGCTTGATCTGGCCGGAGACGTGCATGACGAACCTGGTGGTGAGATTGAAGCTGGGCTTCACGGAGTAGGTGAAGTAGTTCTCTGTGTCGTCATCGAAGTACTTGAAGTCGTAGACAAAGTTCCTCGTCATCTCCGGCACCAAGCTGAAGATCTCCCCGTTCCAGGGCCCGCTGCTCCAGTAAACCCTAGACCTGTTCCAGAAGATCAGGTACTGACTGGTCCCGTTGCGGTCGATCTCCAAGGAGAAGATCCCTGGGGCCGGATCCTCGGAGCTCCTCCATGAGGTGAGCCGCTGGTTCTCCCCCGTCACCTTGTTCAGACCCACCTTGCCGCCAGGAAGCCAGGTGTCGGTGGGGTGGTCGATGCTCCGCCAGAAGATCCGGCTGGAGTTCACGGCGTCCCGGAGGACGAGGTTCCCGCCGGCGAGGAGCTCCGCCACGACGGCAGCAGCGCTGCCGCCGCCGGCGCTTGTATTGGTGGACCATACGGGGGTTCTGGACTGGTCGATCAGGACAAGGTTGCCGTCGCCGGAGATGGCGAGCTCCGAGGCGGCAGGATCGGAGACGGGGGCCTCCCTGTTCGCCACCCAGACCACCTTCTTCTCCGACCGGGAGACCTTCCCGTACCAGATGCCCACGTAGAATCTTCTGCTCCCGCTTCTCGTCGGGGAGAAGAACCCCAAAACGAAGTCACCGGCGCCGGAGGAGACGAGGATCTGCTCGCCGGAGAGCGACTGGTTCGCCGTGATTAAGTCGGCGGCGGAGGATGTACGGACCGCCAGAAGGGCGAGCTTCAAGAGGGAGACAAGCCCGAGGCGACCGCCGCTGATCCAAGAACCCGCCATGTCTCTTCGGAGCTCGGTCCCCACGGAGCAACAAGACGAGGAGGAAAGCTGGATGAAGATGAAGACGAGGCCTGCTAGAAGATGGTAAAACGGTGACGTGGCCAATCATGCATAGATGGGACGGTGAGACAGCTCATAGCCTAAGCCTCTCTCTCATCTCATAGGCATCATAAATTTATCTTATCATAATAACATATTGTTTGTCGATGGAAAATCGTTCGTGCGGACGGGTTTTAGCGTTCATTTATGACTGGAGGGCCCACATGCAATGCCACGTGGATAGCCGCCCCTTCGGTCTGGGCCGGTGAATACTAATCTTGTCGTGAGGCGGCTGGGGGGCTGTCGATTACCTGGTCTGAAGGGCAGGGTGAATTCGGACGGTCAGATCGGACGGATTCCTTGTTACGGCGCCGATTACAATGTCGACCAATCTCCACCGTCCGATCCTTGCTCCTAGTGGGCCCGGATTCCATTGGGCTCGTCGCTTGCGTCAGGCACACGTCGGAGAAGACGTCATCATAACTCAGCATCGGCCCACCTGAGCAACCATCTTCAATGGGCCGGGCCTATCTACATCCAGCCACCACGTGTCAGGAGGAGAATTAATGGTGCCAGCAGAGGTTGTAAATTTATGACGAGTCAGTAGAATCGGCTGCCGTGTCTGACGGAGACCAGGGAAGTCTCTCAGAAGCGTCTGTCTGGATACGAGAAGAGATAGAGAGAGAAAGAGAGTTCGAGAGAAGAGAGAGAGAGAGGAGATAGAGAGAGAGATCTGAGCGTGGTCCACCGCAGTTGGTATTCCTAGGCATTGCAGAGCACGGGAAGCGCCTAAAGAGTAGGCGGCGGGGAGAGGATGGAAAAGCGGGGGAGAGGCTCAACGCTGGTGCGAGGAGAGAGAAAGGGTGGAGCGGGTGAATCAGGTCCACTGGGCTGGTGCAAAGGCACATGTATTATTGGGCCAGTCCAGTTAAAATAGCTGAAGTAAGGAAGCCCAAACGATAATGGGCTCGTTGTGTCTGTTTTTAGGCCGGGCCATTTATGCCCGAAGTTACGGGACTCCATTGGCTGAAAAGGTTTGCTTTTATCTTTTTGGGTATTTCAGTCAAAGAAGGAACGAGCATAGAACAGCACGTCCACGAGTCACGGATGAACACGTACCCCTGTAACGCGGACCCCACCAGCTCGGCCTCCTACATATACCACCACCAGTCGCGAGAAAGGTGCTGCTCTGCGCGTCTTCTTTCTCGCTCCTCTCCCGATTCCGCTGGTCGCCTGCCCCCAAATCCTCAGCTCCGTCCTCGTCCGTCTTCTTGGGGGGATCTGTTCCCTAATACGGTATGATCTCCATCCTGTTCTTCGATTTCGGTGGCCTTCACGTCCTGCTCTCTTGAATCTGGTCGAATTCGTGAATCTAGGGTTTCGTTCTCTCATCACCAATCCGTTCGTTTTCTTCAGTGAGGCGAATTTGGAATTTCCCTCGGTTAGAAGGCAAGGGCGAGGAATCGGAAAGCGGGGCTAATGACGACCGCCGCCCGGCCGACCTGGGCGCCCGCGAAGGGCGGCAACGAGCAGGGAGGGACTCGGATCTTCGGCCCCTCCCAGAAGTACTCATCCCGTGATCTCGCCGCTCATACGACGCTCAAACACAGGTTCCTCCTCTCTCTTTCTCTAACTCTCTCCAACTCTCTCTATCTCTTTCTATCTCTCTCTAACTCTCTTTCTCTCTCTATCCCTTCTTGTATCCATCGTCGTGTTGTTGCAGGAGGGATGGACAGGATACTCTGGAGGAGGTACAGAAGAGGAACCTCCGGGAGGAGCTGGAGGAGCGAGAGCGGAGGCATTTTTCTTCCAAGGACAAGGGTTACGCCGGTAATTCGCAATGTTTCTTAGGGTTTTTCTTCCGTGGTCCATTTCATCATCAGCTGTCGTAGACACCAACTGTTGTACATTTTGTTCTCGATTTGGGCTGCGCAGATGACAGAGATAGAAGAAAATCAGGCCAGCTGCTCTTAGAAGGTACGTCGGAACCCTAAAATCATTTCCAATTGCGGTAATCTTTCATCCCCTGTTCTTGTGCTGACGGTGGTTGACTTTTCAATCGTGAAGGGGTGAAAAGGGAGGCCGAGGACCGACTCATCCCACGCAGTGTAGACGCGGATGATTCCGATATCGAGGCCAAAAGCGACGACGAAAGGTACGCTTTGATGCTATTTATATTTCCTTCTAATTGATCAGAAAATACGGTCAAATTCAGACACAAAAGGTCAATGATTCCACCCGCACGTTGATTTTCCTACGTTCTTGGAGCTGTAGCAGCTGCCATCTGGGGAATCATAAGAACTCATCCTACATCGCATGGCTCATTTTCTAATCCGGGTCGTGTGAATGTCGGTCGTTCAGCGACGAGGACGATGACGAGGATGACGCGGAGGCTCTGATGGCCGAGCTGGAGCAGATCAGGAGGGAACGGGCTGAAGACAAGCTCCGGAAGGTATGTGCTTTGTCATGACTGAGAGATGCTCAAGAGCCTTCTTCTCTGATCTGGATGGTTTCTCCGATGCAGGAGAGGCTGAGGCAGGAGGAGGAGCTGAAGGCGAAGGAGGCTGAACTGATCAGGGGCAACCCCCTTCTCAACAACGCGGCTTCCTTCAGTGTGAAGAGGAGGTTCTGCTCTCTCTCTCTCTCTCTCTCTCGCTCTGTGTTTTATGGGTGGGGAATCCTTGCTGACGCGTCACACGGGGCTGCCAGGTGGGATGATGACGTAGTGTTTAAGAACCAGGCCCGGGGGGAAGCCAAGGCCCCAAAGCGATTCATCAACGACACCATAAGGAACGACTTCCACCGCAAGTTCCTCCATAAGTACATGAAGTGAGAGAGAGCCCGCACCTGTATGTTGGCGGCGCCGCTAGGAAATCCCCATGACTGGATGATGTTGCTTCTTTCTTTTTTCACGCTAAATCTGAGATCTTGGCGCCGCTGTGGTATTTTCTCAGCAGGCTCGCCCTGCTCCTTCGGACGCCCTTCAGAGGGTCCCGCCTGCTCTCTTCACTGGCTGGAGGAGGAGCGGCTTCGCTCCTCCTTGTTTTCGCCGGAGGGCTGCCGCCGTCGGATGGGCGATCGGAGGTGCAGAGGTGGCCGAAGAAGTGCCAAGGGTTGACGTAGCAGAAGGAGGAGGGCACAGTGCCGGTCACCTTCGACGGCCGCACTAGTTTGATGAAGTCTCCGATTTCTTGGTAACAGGAATGGGCAGAGTAGAGAACGGAGTAGATGAAGGGGTGGCACCTTTCCGGATGGTTCCTCCGTCTTCCGCCGCAGCCGATGGGGTCCTCTCTGGGCTTGAGGCTCTTGGCAGGGGGCAGGCCGAGAGAGGAGCCGTCGTCGGGCTTGGGCGACCAGGGGAGGCCGGAAGGCATGATCCCGATGGTGGGGTGGACGCTGTTCAGTGCCGTAAGGGTGTCCACGGTGAAGCTGTAGCGGGGAATGGCTCGGACTCTGGTGAGCTGGGTCTTGGTGGTGAAGATACGGTCCAAGCCGAGAAGGTGCATCGTCTGCAGTCGCTCCGGCCATACCCATATCTTCCTCCGCATGATGGTGAACCAGTGAATCAGTAGGAGGGTGCGACAAGGAAGGGGGGTTAGGAGCAGGGTTCAAGGTGAAGAGGAAACCTTGGTGTTCGTAACCTCTGAGATCTGAACCAGGAGATCCTCCTTCCCGAGCGTGTCGATCCCGATGACAATGTCGTGGTTGGGATGGCAACTGATGATATCGACTACCTGGGAAGATAAGATTGCATAAAAGGTGTGAAGTCGCCTGGGCGTTGACTTTAGTAAGAAAGATCTCTCAATATGAATACCATGAAGAAATAAAATGAATGCGAATCCTTCTGCATGGTAGGGACAACTGCTGATTCTGAATGCTTGGTAAATGCTAAATCTGATCCATGGTACCGTTCTAGGCCAAAATCAGGATCTCAGGCAGGGATGGAGGGATTTCCTGAGCACAAAATCCATGAGGTTGATGAAGAGTCGTTCATACATAGTGTCTAAGCATGCATCTAATGGAATCTTCTACGCTTCTGTTAGGCACGAGATGTTAGGAGATGAAACACGATCTCTTATGGCATCGCATCTGAATCAATGGAGGAAGAGAGGTGCGCATTCCAGATGAGGAATCACATCGAGGGTTTAGCGAGGGACGACCTGGCGAGCAGCAACTTCACGAGGAGGGAAGTCGAACGTCGGATTGCAGAAAGTGTTGTCCAGGTAGAGGACGTCCACTGTGTCCTCTCCAAGAACGCTCAACAAGGCCTTCTTCCCGAGCCAGGCCCTCTCATCTGTCATTTCCCAGCGGAAGTCTCCACTGTACAGAACGCATCCAAGATCCCCTTGGAACAGGTACATCACGGATCCTGTGCACGAACAAGCACGTGAGCACGACCACAGACAGATGGTGTTGCCGCTCCTCTGAGCAATCTCATCCTGCAACTATTCGATCTCAATCTCCAGGCAATTGCTTAGGCATTAGTCGAGATTTCACATTTGAGAAGAAGTAAGGAAGGTTTTGCTCATCTTCTCCTCCCATCCACTGAATCATGTAAAGGTTCATCTCTCGAGAGAAATCAGAAAAAAACCGACGAGCTCAGAGTAGATCAAGAATATAGTTTAGGATTCTCGAATTGAAACGTTTTCGCGAAGGGCGGAAAAGAAATCGATCCGGTTAAAACATACCGGGGCAGTGGCAGGAGTCTATGGCGGTGACGCGGACGGACACCTCCGATCCCGTGGCTCGCGACGTGAGCGCCAACGATCGTGGATTCCCGACCTCGAGAACCCTCAGAAGGGAGAGATCGAAGCCGGGAAACTTGGAAGGGAGGAGCGCGGCAGTGACGGGGGAGCAGAAGACGGGGCCTCTTGCCCAATCTGAGGAGAGTCCCCTGGTGTGGTCGGCGTGAAGGTGCGTGAGGAAGTAGGCTTGGCTGTCCTCGTTCCACCGGTCGACCGAGATCAGGCCCCTCTCCATCTCTCCCCCATGGACAGAAGAGCGGCCGGCGGGAAGAGGAAGAAGAGGATTTTCGAAAACGCCAACCAGAGGAACTCCGCCCGGGAAAGGTTTCTGTTTGGGCGGCGACTTAATCGGTCTGCGGTTGATATATATGTCGGTGGATAGTTTTTTATAATGACGTCCCTAGATACTTTGGGAATCAATAAAGTCCCCTTCTTCTATCGACGAATCTGCCTGAGGTTGGAAACACAAACCAGCTTCTTAGGAAAACCTAAAAAAATAGATTCTTATGATTTAATATATTTTTAAGCACAGAAACGTAGATTATGCCCAATTAAATATATATTAATATGCAACTAAAATAGAAAATTTTCATGATTAAAAGAGTCAGGGGGAGACTTCATGGAATAGAGGCAGGTCAACCTCCCAAAAGTCAAAGTTTTCTAGGACTAACCCACATGCCCAATAGGTCACTAACACCCCTTCCATGGAGGAACAAGGCTTTGATTGTGCAGTCTCTCCATCATCATGAGGCCATGGACATCATGCATGTGGGCACATGTACATGCATCATGCGGCATAACACCACATGACATCAGTGAAAATGCTAGCACAACGTGACACAGTGTAGCACAATCAGACACCACACGACACAACATAGGGTTGCATGCTGGTATGAGTACATGTAAGAGATACACATTGACACAACATGGCATGATGTGGCATGACATAGCATGGCGCTAGTGTCAGTATGGCATGATAAGGGGTGGGTCCATAGATGTGATATGGCACGTGGATAACATGGCATGGCACATCATATACGTTGTGCATCATCATGTGACATGGTGGAATTGGTAATATGTCAAACAGGCATCTGACATTAACACATTGTGGGTAGCAACTGTTGTAGATGTGAATGTGACCTCAGATGATAGGTGGGAATAGTTGTAGTGGTGGTTGCATCAATTGCTACCTTGATCTTCACTATCTGATAATTGTTAGGGTTAGCCATAGCATAGTAGTGAGGTTGGTTGATATTGACTGAACGATGAGGTTAGGTCTAGATTGGGTTGGGTTAGAGAGGAGAGGGGCATATTATAAAATTAAAAGTATTTTTAAACGAGTTTATTTTTTAAATTTTATTTTTTTTGGTCTTGTGCATTTTCCACATGCAAGAAGGCATCCATTGCGCTTCCTTTTTAGGAATTTTTTTCATCCTGGTTCATAATCTGCGCCATTTTAAGAGCATGTTTTCTTAATTAAAAAGCCATCCTTTAAATGTTTTAGAGCTTCCAAACCTGCGACAGGAGCTCTCCTTTTGATTAATTTTATCTGTCCCGCTTGAGAGAGAGAGAGAGAGAGGGAAGAAATAGAGAGAAACTGTAGAGTCATGGGCTTCATTCAGCCCAAGTTCGTACCCCGTAATCCGACCGGGAGGGTCACCGGGGGAGGCTCACGGCGGCGGGGCACCTCCTCGCGGCATTTTTCTCATTGAAAAGGTGGAGTAAGGCCGGAGAGAGAGAGAGAAGAGGAAAAGCGCCTCTGCGTCTCCATCGAAGGCGCTCTGCGAGGACGAAGGTGCAGTGGGTGGCCGTGGGCTTCCTCTCAACTCCTGGTCCTCCGTCCCCTTCCCGGAGGAGCTGCGATTCTCTGCACCTTCTCTCGTCCTTCCTCCGAAAGCGGCGACCTAACAGATGACCCCCCCGGTGACGGGAGCACTGACCGGAGGAAGTTACGAGGCGATTATGAAGGGAGAGTTTCCCTTTCGTCTGTATTGATTAATCAGTGCTTTCTTCCACCCCTTTCTTCCTTCGCCCACTGACCAGGTCGGCGTGGGCGATTCCTTGACTCGGCGGCCGCCAGTGTCAACTTGCGGTTTCCCATGTTGGGAAACGTTGAAACCCGCTGGAGCCGTTAGACGCCGTGGAGGAGAGTCTGACTTGACTCGGCCCACGGAGGAAGCTACGCCACGTGACCCCGGATCTCCGGAAACTCAGTTACCCGTCTTCCATAGATCTCTACGGCCACCCTCGGCGACGGCGGTGACGGAGGACGGGAGGGGAAGCGAAGGCGGAAGCCTTCGCCCCCTCCGCTACCCACGCCCATGCAGCTTCCGCGAAGTGGGCCACCTTCACACACCTGTCACCTTGCTACCGACTCCTTCCAAGAACCTCTCTCTCTCTCTCTCTCTCTCTCTCTCTCTCTTTCGTATCATCGTCTTCCCCTTCTTTCCTTCCTTCGCAAGTACCCGCTCCATCATTTTATGCGTCCTATTTAAGGAGATCGGCCTCCGGTCGGTGGCAGGAGATTGCCAAGCCATCGAAGAGCAGAATTCCGTAGGGGCGGAGGAATCATGGCGCAACGTAGGATGGAGCAATCGCAGGTAGTGGTGTTCGAGGACTTCCTGCCGTCCATGGCGGAGCGGCTGGGGGCGGAGGGCCTCATCGGGGAGCTCTGCAAGGGGTTCCGCCTGCTGATGGACCCGCACCGCGGGCTGATCACACTGGAGAGCCTGAGGAGGAACTCGGCGGCGCTGGGGCTGGGGGGCCTGGACGACGACGACCTCCGGGAGATGCTCCGGGAAGGGGACCTCGACGGCGACGGCGCTCTCAACGAGCTGGAGTTCTGCGTGCTTATGTTTCGGCTCAGCCCCGAGCTCATGGACGGCTCCCGCCGCCTGCTCCAGGAGGCCCTGGGGGAGAAGGACGAGGAAGATGAGGAGCTGCTCAGCCAATTCACATCGTAGAAATCGCTCCACTGCTCATTCCTCTTCGTCTTCCTCTCCCTCTCCCTCTCCCTCTCCCCCTCCCTCCGTTCATTCGTTCATTCCCTCACTCACATTATTTCCCTCCGATCATCTCAGAACTCCCACAATAATTCCCCCAGCAGTTCTCTGAAACTATTTTTCAAATCGATCGGGGGGCAAGTTTGCTCCTAAGACCAAAGCATAGGGCCACCACGAGATGGACCTTTGACCGTGGTTGCAGGAAACCGTGGATCGGTCAATATCGTGGGTCAACGGGGCAGTCAATATGCAGCCTCTCTTCAGATCTGAATGGCCTGGAATTGGCCCAAAAACCATGATCTTTTTTTGACTCCCGAAGAGAAGGAAGGAGTCTGGGACGAGCCTTGATGAAAAGCAAAGTCAACGGTATCGTAGAAAGTGGATGATGTTTCCGCTCTTGGATCCCTTTTTGGGTTCCTCAGAAGGACATTAAAAAGATAATATTTGAAAAATAATACATCTACGTGATTTTTTTTATTTAAAATATTTATACCATTACACGGCAGGGATTCCAATTTTCCGTAAATTTCCCATTTTTCACTGGACGAAATTGGATTCAATTTTTTTATAAAAGAAAGTACAGTAAAAATTCATGATGGCTTGGTGAAACACACGCTCGCCGCCATGCCGTCGACAGCAGGGTTCGAACCTGCGCGGGCAAGCCCAACAGATTTCAAGTCTGTCTCCTTAACCACTCGGACATATCGACGTGATGAAGAAATAATAAAAATTAAAAGTATTACCTTTAAATCCACTCGAAAGTCAGCCAAAATCAGCAATTTTTCCTACGTTTCCTCATCGTCCTGTTGGGGAGACGAGGCGATATGGAGGCGCAAGCTCGTGAAAGTCAACGGCTCTGCTGAGATCGAACCATTCATTTGACCACGATGACGCAGAACAAAATAACAGGAAAATGTCTAGAAACAGATGCATAATCCGAGAATGGAAAGAAGATTCTGACGGCCTACAGAGAGTACCCACATAAAGAAGGGACAGACAGAACAAGAAATCGATCCATTGTCAGGTTTAGAGGGGGGAAGACGGCGGCGGCGGCGCGGCTTCCATGTCTGAGTCTGTGCCTGCTTCTGCATCCAGAAGTAGAAACCAGGGGATCGGAATCAGAAACAGACTGATGGACTAACTGGTTCATGGAGTTGGGAGATGAGAAGGCTATCCGGGTACCTCATTGCCGTGAAGAGGGGAGATGGTTCTCTTCCTCCTCCGGCACCGGACGCAGCAGGTCTGCGGCGGCGGCGGCGGCGGCGCTTCTGGGTGACCCGGTGGCGGCGCGGCCGTTCCTCTCGTCGGTGTGGCGGACGACGACGACGGGGCAGACGCAGTGGTGAACGCAGTAGTCGCTGACGCTGCCGAGGCGGGCCTTGGTCGTCCTCTTCGTCGCGCCGAAGCCCCTGGAGCCCATGATGACGGCGCTGAGCCCCAGCCGCTCCACCTCCAGGCAGAGCCGCTCCTTCATGTCGTGGTCCTTGACGATGTGGATCTTGAAGGGGATCTGCGCCTCCACCAGCGGCTGCGCCAGGTCCTGCGCCTTGCCGGCGGTGAACGCGTCGAAGTCCTCCTCCAGCTTCTGCTGAGAGATGCCCTCCGAGCCCCCGCCGGAGACGTCGACGGAGCCCCAGTCGGCGCCGTAGAGGACGCTCGTGGGACGGACATGGAGGAGGATCACGGCGTCCCCGGGGCGTAGGTAGTTCTGCACCGCCCACTTGACGGCGTAGGCGCTCTCGTCACTCAGATCCACCGCGATGGCTATCCGCCGGTGGGCGCCGCCCGTCTGCGCCGCCACCGAGGACAGAAAGAAGCGGGGCGATGAGGGCTGGAGCAGCGGTGGCGCCGCAGCCGGGGAGACTGGCGACTGCGGCGGCGGGTGGTCGGATTCGGCCTTGCCCTGCATCCTCAGGGGGAGCGAAAGCGGGAAGATGAAAGAAAACAGATACCGGGCGAGATCTGCAAGTCCCCTCCTGCAACAACTACTCGGTGCTACCCAGGTCTTCTTCTTCGGGAGGTTTCAGCAAAGGATCTTGGTTGCGGTTTTGATGGGTTTCGAGGGTTTTCAGAAAGAGGGCGTCTTTAGAGAGAGAAATTTAAAGGCCGAAGGAAGAGAGAGAGGCGTGTACTGGATAGGATTGAGGGCCCTGGCCTGATCCGGGGAGATGGAAACCCGGCGGCAAGGGCCAGGGGCAGCAGCTGGCGACCTGGCGCCCACGGCAATACCGAGCCGACGCCGCCACGTGGGCGATTTCCGATTGAAAACTCGGCCACTCGGGCAGACCGAGTCACCGACCCAGTAGACTGGCACCGTGAGCCGGTGTGGATGAGGACTGGCCACTTCTGACGTGTTGCTGACGTGGATACCCCCTACGTCTCCCCCCCCCTCTTATCGGCATTCCATAGCTGCTCAATTAATGAATGAATATCACGCACATATTATTTAATGAAAACCCGGAAACCGAGTCAAACTAGCTTGGAACCGGATTTCCTCACGCCACGCGGGGTGCCCCCCTCCCCCCCTCTTTCAAAATCCCATTAATTACCCACACCGCAGGTATAATATGGGGTATGAAAGAACTTAGTCAAATAAATTGCATGTATTTAGATTATATCAGGCCTATTTAAGCATGTATTTTTTATATTTTAGATCCTCATATATTTGGTTAATTCATATGCTCTTCCTCAATAAATCAGACAAGTGTTGCATGAGCAAATGACACCTCCTACATTGCTTTAGTGAGGGCTACACTCCAAACAAGGGTAGTGAGATGCTAACTTGAAAGGTGAGATTAAATATGATTTTAAGAGCATGAAAAAAAAACTTTACTGAAGTTGATCTAAATGTGACAAGTTTATTTTTGAAAAAATAAATGTATTTAAATTTTAAATTTCTTCACTGGATTTAATCGATGTCACCAGCTTGCACCATTTTTACTTGTGTTTTTATGAAAGGCTGAAGGAAGTGTATCAATGGAGATATTTGATATATTTTATATGGTAGAAGAGAGTCGAACCACTATTTTGATGACAATGATGAAAAATTCTCCCTTCCTCTATGGGTGCCTCACATTATTCAGAGCTTAAAAAATGGGCCATTAGCTATGTGCCATAGTCTACGTGCAATATAATCCATAAATAGCACAGATCACATATGCATTTACTGAAAATAATAAATTTATTTTCAGTAAAAACCAACCGAAGGAACTCAATACCAATACAAAAATGTTAACGTTCCTGTTGAGTAAGAGGAGATGCCCATTCATTTCTCATTATTGATGTTAGCTGGATGCTATAAAAACACGCACTTTGTTGTGATAAACACAAAATGTCTCGAGGTATTCGATCTTATTTGATGGAAATTCAAGGCATTCAAACCGCTTGTCTTCGAATGAGATTTCTCAGGTGCCATTTATTAGGGAAAGAAAAAAAAAAAAAAAAAAGCTAGTTTCAACACACTGTGCTTGATTAAGACTGGGATTAGACAGCGGTGATGATTAAATGAGAATGGATCCGTATCTCCACCAAGGGTCTTGGCAATGAACTATGAATCCAGTAGAATAAAAACGCAGAGCCTGCTTGGTAGTTAGGAGACATCTCGGCCAAGTGTTGATCTACGGCCAGTACCTTCCAAGGGCCACTTACTCCCTTGTCGGTCTCCTCCAAATTTGGTAAGAAATCCGCAGGGTAGAAAAGATGAGGCTCAAAAGTAGCCCATTCGATTGTTTTGTTCGTGGAGAGAGTTTCTATCCGCCTCTGCGCCAGATTTTAGGCCCAATAATTAATATATTATCTTTTTGACGGAAAGAATCCTCGACCTCATTATTCATGGGGGTGAATTTGCTGGAGGTCGACGTGTGAGCGCGTGGTGCGGGCACGAGTCCCCCTGGGGTGGGGTACTTCGGGAATTCCGCAGGTACGGAAGGTACGAGGCTAGGAAAGACGGGGTGCGGAGGAGTGCCGATACGCCTCGCGACGTCTCTTCTGCCTTGTGCGAGCTGTCGTAGGGGACGTCACAAATGGAAGGCGCGTCGGGGGGGAGGGGCCCTTTTACGAGAGAGTCGCGTCGCTTCAGGCGTTACCGGAAGCCGCCCAGCCCGGGCCCAGCGACTCGGCGTTGCGGCACGGCCCGCCGCTGATATAAGACGGCCCGGGAAGGGCGGACGGCGAAGTCCTCCCTCTCTTCTTTCTTCTCCACCGGCGTCGGAGAAGTTGCAACGGGCAGCGGCGGAGGAGGTAACGATGAGGCGGCGCATCAAGCGAGTGAGGGCGGCGGCGGAGGATAAGAGAGATGGGGGCGGCGATGGGGGGGTTGACCGGCTGAGCGACCTCCCCGACGACTTGCTGCTGGAGGTGATATTGTCGCTGCAGACGAAGGAGGCGGTCAGGGCGGGGGCGCTATCGCAGCGGTGGAGGCAACTGTCGGCCATGCTGCCCGTCGTGGGCCACATCCTCGTGGGGATCCCCTACGCGGCGAAGCCGACAAAACGGCAGCCGGGGTGGACCTTCGACTTCGAGCAGGTGGACCGCGCCTTGGCCGCGCGGCCGGGGTTGCTCAGCAGCTGCGAGATCGTGCCGGACGTCGCGCCGGACGCGCGCCTGATACGCCGATGGGCGGAGGCCCTCGCGTGCCGCGGCGTGCGTGAGCTCACCCTCGACTTCCGCCGCGACCCCAACGTCGATGCCTCCCCGGTCCTCTTCCTCTGCCGGTCCCTGGTGCGGCTCGAGCTTCACGGCTGCCGCCTCGTGCCGGATTCGCCGGAGATGCTGCGCTTCCCCCCCCCGCTGCTGTCGGTGGGCTGCCTGGGGCTGACCCACCTCAAGCTCGGGGACGTGGAGCTCTGCGACGACACGTTCCTGGGCATAACCACCGCATGCCTGCTGTTGGAGAGGATGGAGCTGCTCTGCTGCTACGGCTTCAAGTGGTTCCGCTTGGACGGCGCCCATCGGCTAAGGTCGCTGACCTTCCAGTACCCACCGGAGACCCACCTCGACGAGCTGCAGATGATCGACGTCGACGCCCCCAATCTCGAGGCCCTCGACCTCCGCACGCTGCCGCCGCCGATCGGGATCAGGATCTTTGCCCCCAAGCTGCGCTCCGTCCACCTCTCCCTGCCCAGGATCCGCCGCCGCTGCTTCCCCACCGTGGCCCCCGGCCTCATGCTCCTCCTCCAAAACGCCCCCGCCATTTCTTGCCTCCAGCTCCGCGGTGGCGCCGTCGACGTCCGGCCTTCTCTCTCTCTACTGGTCTAGATTTCACTCAATGCTGCTCCTCTGTTCTGTGCTGATTCCACCGCTATCTTCCACCGCAGTGCCTCTCCGTGGACAGGGTGCCGGAAAGCTTGAACTCACCGTTCCTCATGCTCAAGAGGCTCTACATCAATGTGGCCCTCAAGTACGAACGCCAAGCCCTCTGCCTCGCCGTCCTGCTGCAGCAGTTCACCAGTCTCGAGCAGCTGAATCTCTTCGTAAGGGGGAGAAACTCCAAGAGTCAGCCCTCTCTCTGTCTCTCTCTGTCTCTGTCTTACCTTCGCCTTTTCTTCCCTCCTCGTGGAAGATAATCAAAGGCGACGTCCCCTGCGCCGGAGCAGCCCTGTCGCAGCCGGAGTTCAAGGATCACCAGTGGAGGCTGGAGGAGGCGGGCTGTCTCAGAGATCGCCTCCAGATGGTGACCATCTCCGGCTTCACTGGGGAGTTCTATGAGACGTGTCTGGCGGGCTTCATCCTCATGGTCGCCAGGGCGCTCAAGAAGATGACGGTGAGCCTTAACAGCAAGTGCTCCAACTCCGGGAAGAATGCTGCCCACAGTCTGGCGAACTTGAAGCGGGCCTCCTCCATGGCTAAGTTCCGTGTGAAAACATCCCGCTGAAACACCATCGATCTGGTTCAATCGTGGAGGAAAAGCTGCCTCTCCACCACAACTGCTCTGGACACCTCATTCCTTTGATACATCACTGACCTGCCCAGACTAAATAGAGAGCCTCGTTCAGGAACATCTCTGGATTTTCCAGATGACTTCCGCTGAACATTCATGGATACTTACTTTTGATTTCCCAAAGATCTTCAGATGAATGTAGCTGTTGCTTCATTTGAGAATAATCTGCTGTTCTAATCCTAATATGAGCAGTGATGCGCGCCGCACTGTTGGATGTGAAAGCCAAAGTTACCTGCAACATGAAGAATCTGCTAGCATGCATCGAAAATCGATAGAGCATTTAAAATCCTACCTACATCTAACCAATGCTTTACCTTGAGCGCCGTGTGGTCTGAGGCCGACCTTCTGAACTTGTTTCTGTGACATGAGCAGACCCCTGTTGCTAACTACATAGCGCCGAACATATCATCAGCTGTCTTGTTGAGCAGAACTGAGATAACCTATGATTGGGATAGCATCAATTGACTCACCGGCAGTTGCAGTTCACCGAGATATCAACACATCTAACTCTGTTCTTGTTCATACGCGAATGAGCATCACTTGATCATAATGTGTACCATTAAGCATCACTTTATCATAGTGAGCATCACCGAGATTCTATGAATGCATAAATTTTCTCTAATTGATGCTGCTAATCATTGTTTCCCTGGCAATCCAGGGAATAGCTCAGAGGCCAGCCAGCCTCTGTTTGCCCATTGGTGCGAGGCATCCTTGATCACATCTACTCCTTGGTAGTCGGAAACCAGTGTAGTAGTTTCTAACGCCCGCTCACCTTATTCTTTTGGTGTTTCTTCATGATAAAGGAAAAGTCTCTCAGGGTTGAGGTTACTTTTCTACCATATACCCAAGCTCCTGATTGTTCTCTCCACATAAATTTCCTCAATAATCTTGGTGAGAAGTTTGTATGTGACCAACAGACAGTGATGATACATCAGATAAACACTCCGCCTCATGATCAAGGAGTATTCTGGCAATTTCCTTGGATCATTCACCATTCCCTCTCCCTCAGGGGTCGACTTTATGCAGATTATTTTCCACAAACATCTCATATGGAGAAGCGTCTATAAAAGGTAAAGGATTATCAAATGCTCCCAATAATCGACAAATTTATTGCAGGAAATTTTCAGGATGATTTGCTCTGTGCTGGTTCCTCCGGACTCTTCCACGAAGATAGATAGGTTTTAGTTTTCTCCTTTCATCTTCGTCATACAGAGACTTGTTGGTGACCATCCTCGATCTAATAGGCTTGTCGTCCTACTAATCCGCAAGCTGGACCATCAACATCCTCAACTATTCGGAGTAGGTTCCGAGGGTGTCGCATCGAGAGCCAGATGAAGGCCGATGATCCGCAGCAGACGGACCACATTGAAACTATCAAATCGTTCAGATGAACCAGATTTCGATCCCTAAACGACGTATGCTCACAACCTCCGCATCCGCTATCCAGATGAACGAGATACATCTCAGATTTCCTTCTCCCAGACGCTTACCAAGAACTTCCGAGCATTCGACTTACCTGGGGATGGGAAGAGGCCGAGCTCACTGATAATCCGATCTGGTTAAGAATACCCAACGGAGTCACCTGCATCAGCTGCAGCAGCTCCACGGTCTGAACTCGAGCTGGAGAGGAGAGGAGGACATCAGGGGTGAAGCAAGGGAGGACAATCTCGCATTCCTCACCACGCCAGAGCTGGCCGCCATGGCCGTGCTCTCTGGCCCGTCCAGATCCTCTAGAAGTCTCTCTTCTACTCTTGCTAAGAACTTAAATGGGCTAATATGGGCCGTCAAAGCCTAAATGGCCTGAAACGGTAAAGTAAGCAGGATGGAGACAAATCACGGCCAGGCCAACATTCCTTGGGGTCTTCTTCTTCTGGGTGTTTTTCTGTTTTTTATTCTTACGGGGACTTTTTTAAAATTATAGAGATAAACAAGCAACAGAAATGGCGCAAGAAACTAGGTAAATGAATGTTAGATACCAAATATATATGGTTATGTAGAACATCACATTATACCACAGACAGATCAACTGTCATAAACACAACGGATTAATGCATTTTGTATTCTTTAAAGTATCTTAGAAGAAAATTGAAAAACAAATGTTGAAAATATAAATTATAAATATATCTTTGTAGAATATAATTACAACATAACATGTTTAATTAGGAAGTTTCATGAACGATATACAAAACCCTTTTATACTCCATAAATGAAAATAAATCAAAACATAATCCGAGAAATCAATAAATGAATCTCATATATCAAGTATATGTGGTTAAGCAGAAGATCACATCATACTGCAAATATGACAGTTGTTGTAAGCACACTAGATTAATCTATTTTGTATTTCGTATAAATAAAATCTTTTCAAAGAAAATTAACAAAATGTTAGAAATATATATTTGTAGAAAATAATTACAACATAACATGTTTAATTGAGAAATTTTCAGAAACAATGTACAAAACCTTTGACACTAACAACAAGGGGGGGCTCTAAAATAAATCAAAACATAAATGAAGCAATAAACTAATAAATGAATCTTAGATATGAAACATATGTGGTTATGCAAAAGATCACATCATACCACAAATATAACATCTATCATAAGCACAACTAACTAATGAATTTTTTATTTCTTTTAACATTAGTAATTTCAAAGAAAAGTAACAACAAAATGCTGCCAATATAAATTATAAATATATCTTTATCGAAAATAATTGAAACATAACATAATTGAGAAATTTTAGAAATGGTATACGAAACACTTGTATACTGACAACAAAGGGGGCTTTGGAGTAAATCAAAACGTAAATTTTAGCAAATATATGTGGTTATGTAGAAGATCACATCATACCACATATATGGTAGCTGTCATAAACACAACAGATTTTATACATTTTTTATATTTATAATATGAAGTATCTTTAAAGAAAATTAATAATTTAATGTTTTGAATATAAATTATAAATATATCTTTGTACAAAATAATGGAAACATAAAATGTTTAATGAAAATTTTTAAAAATGGTAAACAAAACCCTTGTGTATCGACAATGAGGGGGGATCTAAAATAACTCAAAACACAAATTACCCAAGAAATGAGTAAATGAATCTTATATACCAAGTATATGTGGTTATGCAGAAGATCACATCATACAACATATATGACTGATATCATGAGCACAAATGGAATAATATGCTTGTATTTCTTATAACATGAAGTATCTTTAAAGAAAATTAAGAACACAATTCTGTAAATATAAATTATAAATATATATTTGTAGAAAATAATTGCAAAATAACATGTTTAATTGAGAAGCTTTCAAAAATGGTTTATAAAACCCTTGTATACTGATTACAAAGAAGTCTATGGAGTAAATCAAGAAACTAGTAAATGAATCTTAGATACCAAATATATGTGGTTATCAGAAGATCACATCATACCAGAGATATGACAACTATCATAAAAAAATTCATATGTTTTGTATTTCTTATAACATGAAATCTTTTCAAAGAAAACTAACAACATAATGTTGTTGATACAAATTATAAATATACCTTTGTAGAGAATATCACATGTTTAATTGAGAAGTTTTTAGAAACGAAATACAAGATCCTTGTATACTGGGTTTAATAGATGAAGAATTAAATCAATAAACGCTAGATTCAAGTATGGTGTTTTTATTCGTGCAATCTTAACATGCATGTTCTAGTTCATCATATTTTTTAATGTAATGAAATATAAAAGATTGAATCGGATCGTCTCTAGTAGAAGACAAATAGGTGATCAAATATTTTGTTGTTTATAAATGAAACTCTTACATGCACACTAAATACAAAAGAGGATCAAATAGAGACATATATGAAGATAGATGATTCTCCCAAATCTCCTTCTTCCAACATCTTGAAGAAAAAGTTCCTTTTCTTGACACCAATAAAAGGTTAATGAAAACCAATGGAAATGCTTACCTCTTCCTCTCTTCTTCAAGCCCTAAAACTCCACATAAAATTGCTACCTCCCTTCTCCACAGAGCTCTCGAAAACCCGTGATTTTTGAGAATACCTCTCTCTCATTTCCCTGATGCCCTAAAAGGAAGAGAAACGTACATTCCTTTTCCAGCTATTGGGCCCCTATTTCTGGCCCATTACCTTTTTGGGTAGTTAACAATGATGCGTCATTGTCTTCCCTACTTAAGCTTTGGAGATCCAACTAATAAAGGTGTCTTTTTATAAATAGTCATTTTTTGATCTCTTTATATGTTCTTCTAAGAATAGGCAAATTTTTATTTCAAATACCTTTCACAAATAAGAAGAGTCGACCAAATCTTGCCTTTTCGGGAAGAATGAAAGGGGGATAGTTGTAAAGAAGAATACAAATGCAAAAAAAATAGAAACAATAACAAATTAGGTTTGAATTTTTAAACTTCTTAATTGAGCTAGACAAGTGACTGATTTTTTTACCCTCTTCTCATCCCTAAGAGAGTTATAATAATAAATACCATTTGAAATAAGTTATAAGATAAATTAAATTGAAGTGTGTGAGTCCTTTACTTTTGGGCCCATGCGCAGCCAAGTGAGCCTTTGATACTCCACTTCATCAAGTCTAGTTGTGATATGAACCATATCATTTTTCTCTTGTTCCAATTTTCTTAATGCTTATAGCTTCACCATTAGAGGACCCCACCATGACAACTTCCACATGATCGTTGTTCCCTTCCCTAAGCTTCTTCTAGAAAATACAGATTATCTTTGTTGGCTAGACCTTGTTTGGAGACCAAGGCTAGTGAAGAGGAGGAAGATGAGAGAAAAGACATGCAGGAGGCTGCTAGTGCTCTCTCCCTTCTCTAAGTCTCTTGTACAAGTCAACAGAGGGCAAGTAGAATTTATAAGGCACAACTTCTTGAACCTTGTTAAGGGTCAGAAATCATAAGGAAAATAATTGAAAAGGTGCTATGTTGAAGGAATCACAGGCCAAATCTAGTTATGATGTCATCTCAACTAGTTTGGAATCAATGTGAGAATGTCATGAGGTATCTATCATTCTCCTTTGTTAGATTGCACCATCTCCAAATGGTAATCATTGGCCACATGAAAGCCTTTTTCCATTTGGAACTAGAGACTAAGATTGAGAAAAAAATATAGATGTATTTATCTCGTGGTTTGAGGAATCACTAATAATTTATGACTATTGGGCAAGTTAATTGGGTTGACTATGAGTAAATGCTAAAAAATGAAGTATACTATTTAAATGATATACAAAAATATTACAAAAAATAACATAAAACATAAACATTTAATTTAACAATACATGATTAATATAATTCCACGTCTAATTATTAACACAAGAATATATAGTTTTCCTCTTCTCACCATTTCTTGTTCCATAAAGTTCATGGTTATTTTCTTAGTTACTCTATAAAAAGGAGGCACATCTTTTGAAGTACTCCTTCATCAAAAATGTTATGATTTCAAAGATACAAAAACATAATGGCTCTTCGAATTAATAACTAAAAAATAAACCTAAATAAAACTCAAACATTGCCCAAAGTTTTATGTTATAGAATATGAGATTATAGATACCATAATTCAAATAAAAAATACCTCTTTGACATAAGATAATCTAAATGTATGCTTTAATATTATTTTATTGTTGTAAATGATTATGAGACACAGAGGAAATAGAAAATTTTAAAATGATAAAACATTAACCTTGAAATATAAAGATTAGAGGTATCTCACCGAATTAAAGATCATACATAATAACTTTGTATTTTAAACTATTTTTGTGATTATTATGGTAGAAATAATACTTAAATTTGTTTATCATATTATATTTTACCCATATTTGAATGATTTTTTTTATAATCACATTAAAATAATTACTCATCACCTTTTATTTTTATTGATTGTTGACCTTGAGATCATGTATATAGAATGTGAAATCGATTACATGTGCTAGAAGGGGGTATAAAGAATATTATATTAATTAATATTTCATATTTGGATAATAAATAAATAATTTAAATCAATGTCTGTTATTTGAATAGACTTTGATATATTACGATGTTTGGAGTTTGAATGAGAAAAGTAGTCGAAAAGGGACTTGATGGAGGGATACATCGAAAGGGATTGATGGCTCACAGATGAATGGTTTTTGACCCACCTTGCTGTTATGCTTTCAAGGCTATGATTCAATATTTACTAATATTCGGTTTCAAGATCAAGCCCAAAATGATTTTGGAGTGTGGCTTATTTTCTCGCAACGTTATTGTCCCACCGTCACTCGTGTGACGCACACAACTCTCTCTTTCTCTCTCTCTCTCTCTCTCTCTCTCTCTCTCTCACTCTCCCTCTCTCGCTGTATATATATATCTGTATGTAAATATCTGGGGTCTAGCCCGAAAGGATGGGGCTCTCGTTTTTTTGTTACGTAGTTGCCCTACCTTCACTAAAAGGTGAACAGTCTGGCTCTCTCTCTCTAGATAGGAATGTATACGTGTCTAACACTCTTTCTCTCTGATAGCAGCCCGTAGAAGGCCAGGTTGGTCCTAATTGATACTGGGGTTTGATCCACAGAATTCAAGCCCCATTTCCCACTTTCCACGCTTTATGGGCTCAGCATTCAAAATTCCAGGCCGAACAGGTTTGTTGCCCTCGCGGACGTGATCCAGACCGGGTAAGCGGGATTTTAATACGACCCCGATCTCTCTCTCTCTCTCTCTATCTGCTACGAGTTTTTCAAAGAATTTTAAAATATCGCTGAGATCTTACCTCTCTAGTGGGCCCAACTTAATAACTGTGTCAAATGCCTCTACACGTGTTGGAAGGTCGGAGCCGTAGGGAACTTATCCGACGGCCTTTGGTAGTTGACTAATTTTTTTTTTTCCCCGACCCAGGAAATCCTTGTCAGCGAGGCATGGGTCGGTTCCTCCGCGGGGAGGTGTTTATTGGCGAAGTCTCTGTCCCAGTCGCAGGGGGGGGAAAGCATGCGAAGACCAAACTGGTGCCCGCTGACATTGACTGCCTGTTAAAAACGTGGTGTCTGAATGCCCGTCAAACCCCTAGATTGTGCTAAGACCAGATTTCGCCTCCGTCCGGTGGGCTTCTGGTGGTCGTCTACAGGGCATCGTACCAACCGCCGCATTCCGATTCATCTACCTTCTGCGCCAGCGAGAGATCTTCCATCGTTGACGAGGAGAAGCTTTCTATTGGGGCGACCAGGATGGGCAGGCTAGGGACAACCCGTCGGCGGAGCAGAGAGCAGGCGGCGGCTTACTGTGGAGACAATTTCTAGGGACATTGAAGGCGGGTGATGGGTCTCAGCAGTGGCAGCCTCCCCTGCAGAGCAATCGCCGGCGGTGCCATCAACTCGCTCCTTCTCGTCATCCTCCTCGGCGGAGCTTCCTTCCCCGCCCCTTCTCTCGCGACGGATACCCTCGTGAAGGGCCAGTCTATCGCAACCAATGGATCTCTCATCTCCGATGGCGGCATCTTCAGGTTGGGCTTCTTCACCAGGGGCTCCTCAGGAGGATACTATTTGGGCATATTGTACAATAACATCTCGGTGGAGACGGTGGTGTGGGTCGCCAACAGGGAGAGCCCGGCGGACGCCGCCGGGTTGCTCCGCCTCGGGAACAATGGCAGGCTGGAAGTGGTCGACGGCAGCGGGGGGATCCGCTGGTCGTCGAACTCTACGATCGATTCTACCAACTGCTCGGCGCAGATCGGGAACGACGGGAATCTCATCCTCAAGTCGGGGAATTCGCTGAATTCAATCCTCTGGGAGAGCTTCGACCACCCCGGTGATACCTTCATTCCCGGCATGAAGATCACGATGGACCGGGCCACCGGCGCAATCCAGCGTTTCATTTCTTGGACAAGCCCCGAGGATCCGGCACCGGGGAGGTATTCGCTCGGCCTCGACCCCCTGGGGTCCGCACAGATCTACATATGGAATGGGTCGGCGATCCGGTGGAGGTCTGGGCAGTGGAACAAGAGGTCCTTCATCGGAATCACCCGGATGAAGGCCCTCTCCATCTACGGCTTCAGCCTCGACCCAAATAACAACGGGCAGATGGTTCTCAGCTTCAGCTACGAAGAATCGCTGCTTAGGTTCGTGATGCAGTCGGACGGGATCCAGAACACCTCGACCTGGAATTCGGGAAACCAGTCGTGGACTGGAGTCTGGGCGCAGCCGCTGACCGACTGCGAGACCTACAACTTCTGCGGGAATTACAGCCTCTGCGACGAGGAAGCCACGCCCAAGTGCAGCTGCCTACAAGGTTTCTTGCCGAAGTCCGACGGGGAGTGGGGCGGCGGGTGCGTTCGGAGGACTCCTCTGGGGTGCGCCGCCAACGGTACCGGCGGAGCAACTGGGTTTGCAACGTTTGAGATGGTCAAGTTGCCGGACTTCTCCGAGTGGGCATCGACGGCGAACGACGAGGCGGCCTGCGGCGCCTACTGCTCGGCGAACTGTTCCTGCGCTGCGTACTCCTTTGTGGAGGATCTGGGCTGCTTGGTGTGGTCCGTCGATCTGCTGGATCTTGCCAAGTTTATCACCGGCGGCAACACCCTACACCTCAAACTCGACAGCAATGATCTAGGTAAGAGACCGTTACTCTATATTCGGCTGAAGTAAAATGATTTTATCTTCCACACTGGAGGTATGACCTGGTCTCCATTCGGAGCATCATGTCCGATCGTGGGCTCCACATCTTCGTCGTTCTCTTCGTCCTGCTTTCTCTTTTCACTATCTCGAGGCTGACATTTCAGAGCTTTTCTCGTATGCCGGTCCCATGATTCGTGAAACATGGTAAGATGCTCTCCCACACGAGGGCGAGGAAAAACTCGAGTTCTTTAATAGAGCCAATGGGGACGAGTGATCAAGAAGCGTTTACATTAATGTTCCATTAGCATTGAGATCAATCACCACACCACCTCTGTCATACATACGACATTACACGACGCGAGGATGAGGGTGTTACATTGAGTTCGGATTGGATTGCCCGCATGAGTTTTACCCCTTGATGATTTCTGATGCTGCTCCCTTGGTATTCGATATTTCCTTGTTCTAGAGAAAATTGATCGACTTCGGTTTCTCTCTCTAGATTCCGGAGATGAGAGCAAGAAGAGGGTTTTATGGATCGTCCTGCCCGTTGTCCTCGTTGTCATCTTGCTCCTATGTCTCTTCATTGGGTGGAAGTACATGGCTAATATCAAAGGTATTGACGTTACAACCGCTGGGTTTCCAAGTTTATGATCGGTATCAAGTATGCCTTAATCTTCTGCCTCGCCTTCTACAGGCTGGAGAGCGGGCAAAAGAAAGGGGCGAGGTAGCTCAACGGCCGGGTCAGGGTTCAGTGGAGACGGGCCAACGAAGTTCTCTGACCCGAAAGAACTCGAAGACAAAACCGAGGGGGATTCTCCGGATTTGCCCGTCTTCAGCTTTGAGGCCATCGCCGTTGCCACGGACAACTTCAGCAACATTAACAAGCTCGGAGAGGGCGGATTCGGCGATGTTCATAAGGTGATGACCGCTTATTATAAGCTGGAATAGTCCCGCGTTGATCGGGGATAAAACTTCTACAGTGGCTTCCAAATGGTGCTGACTCGCTTTGCTTTCGGACCAGGGGGTGCTGCCCAGTGGGGAGGAGATCGCCGTCAAGAGGCTCTCAAGGAGCTCCGGCCAAGGCCTCGACGAGTTCAAGAACGAGGTCACGCTGATCGCCAAACTGCAGCACAGGAACCTGGTTAGACTCCTCGGGTACTGCTTCCAAGGGGACGAGAAGGTACTCATCTATGAGTACCTGCAGAACAGGAGCTTAGATGTCTTCCTCTTTGGTATCCCTCTCTCTCTCTCTCTCTCTCTCTCGCTATGTGTATATATTGCCATTATACAATCATGCTACACGGTGCTTAGATTCAGGAGGAGATATCGATAGCTTGATAGATAATCGGCTTCATCTGTTATATGTGCAGATCCGGTGAGGCGGCCACTTCTAGATTGGAGGAAACGATTCGACATTCTTGAAGGAATCGCCAGGGGCCTCCTCTACCTCCACCGGGATTCCAGGCTTCGGATAGTTCACCGGGACCTGAAGGCCAGCAATATCTTGCTGGACGAAGAGATGAACCCTAAGATCTCGGATTTCGGGATGGCCCGGATCTTCGGCGGCAATCAGAACCACGACAACACCAACCGGGTGGTCGGCACGTTGTAAGTATCAGCTGAATACATCTATATATCTATCAGTCTGCCGTTTGTGTCTTCCCAATAACTCATCCAACGGCATCAAGTTGAGAAAATGAGAAAATTAGTCTAAAAAAACGATAATTTTGGATGCGTTTCCGAATCTAACAAGTTCTCCGTGGAAAATGCAGCGGTTACATGTCTCCAGAGTATGCCATGGAAGGTTTGTTCTCGGTGAAGTCGGACGTGTACAGCTTCGGCGTCCTGATGCTGGAGATTGTGACCGGGAGGAAGAACAGCAGGACTCGGTCGGAGAACTACACCAATCTTCTTGGATACGTGAGTATATAATATAGCTTTCGACCCGCCTCAAACTCCGAAGTTTCCCCGTTCTTCTCCCCTCTTACTTCCATCCTTTTCATATCGTTCTACATCTCTAGGGAGAGACCTAGTCTGCACGCATATCATCTCTAATGTGGACTTTACATGATCTATGAAAATTGCTGATGATGAGTGCATCTTGGAGTGACTTAGCATCAGTTGAGATAAACTAATGCATAGTTGACGCATTTGTCTTCCTTTATTCTTTCTTATGAACTAATCCTCGAGTGTTGAAACTGGTGGGTTCAGGTGTGGCAGCTGTGGACGGAAGGGAGGGCCCAAGACCTGATCGACCCGTGCATAATGGACTGCTGCGACGCCACGCAGGCATTGCGGTGCGTCCACGTCGCTCTCCTCTGCGTGCAGGACCGCCCCTACGACCGGCCCACCATGTCCTCGGTGGTTATCATGCTCTCCAGCCAGAACCCCCTCCATGAGTTCCCCAAGCAGCCGACCTTCGTCGCCGACGGCAGCCCCAGCGACACGGAGTCCCAGAAGCACAACGGCGACGGCTTCTCTGTGAACGACGTCACCGTCACAATGCTCGCCGGACGATAGGACAGAGGCAGAAACCCCTCCTCTCTCTCTTTCTCTCGCTCCCTCTTTCCCCAATTTTTCGTTGTTCATATTTGATTGTGTAGTTTAATCTCTCCTTTTCTCGCTGTCCGTCTTCCCCACATTCTTTTTTGATAGCGGACAGTGTATACAGGCTAATCTCTCTCTCTCTCTCTCTCTCTCTCTCTCTCTCTCGCTGTCTTTCCCCAATTCTTCATTGGTAGTCGAGTGTCTAGTTTAATCTCTCTTTTTCTCGCTGTCCTTTTTCCCCACATTCTTTTTGAGACTGGACAGTGTACATAGGTTAATCTCCTCTCTCTCTCTCTCTCTCTCTCTCGCTCTCTATCTCTGTCTTCCTGTCTTCTTCTTCGCGAAATCATTCATTGACAGCCCACACCGTTTAGGATAAGCTCGACGATGGAGGACGAATCAAAAGCCTTGTAGAAAGAGGCGATATTCCTTTATTCGCATCGATCGAGGCGTTTCAGGAGGGTGGGATAGGGCCATGACGTCGAGCTAGTGGCCGGAGAAGATCGGATCCGCAAGCGATCGTGGTAATCTCCATGTCGAGAGGTGACCGCCGCCGCTAACTGGTCTTACCGTCAACATGGCGGTGTTAGCATATCGGTCCGAGATTTTTGGGCTCGGGCCAGAAAGGGTGAAGCCCTAAACTCTAGCTGGATATCGGCCCAAGTAACCTTACTGGACCCTGAGGCTGAGCTTTCCATCAAGGGCCAAGTAACCTTACTGTAAGAGCCTCGGTGCCGGCTTGGGCGGCCCATTAAAGACCCGAATCCACGACTCAAAAAGTTTCCAGTGCAACAAATTAATTCTTAAATATATAATGCGGCCGAAAGTAAGGTTATTGTCAAATGCCGATCATGGGCCACTAGTTGAGCCCACTATTCTCTCAAACTTCAGCGCATCTGTTGGTGAGCTGGGCATGGCGCAAAGAGAAAGAGAGGGAGAGAGAGAGAGGGAGAGAGAGAGAGAGAGGGAGAGAGAGAGAGAGAGAGAGAGAGAGAGAGAGAGAGAGAGAGAGAGAGAGAGAGAGAGAGAGAGAGAGAGAGCTGTGGACAAAGCCCGCGTGGTAGTCCAAGTCACAGGTCAAGTTGGTGGCCACATAAGGGTTATCCAAACCATTTGACACCAAAAAATGTCAACGATACACACTAATATGTGTTCGGAGAGGGCATCCTGCTGACCAGAGTAAACTATCCAAATCATGAGGAATGAGGTAATTTGACTTATTCCCCTATCCAACTAAAGTTACCGCATTTAATGTGAAATTACTGTGCGAGCTGAAAACGACGGCAGTTTACTTGCTTTGTCCAGCCGGAAACTTCATAACATTTTCCCTAGAAACGACGGCAGGAGTTTTGTCGACATCTTTGAAAGATGCAAAATCAACTGCCAGCGCATGCCGGTGGTTTGTTCAGCTTCCGGTGGACTTCCGCCGCCGGAAAGTTGTGGCACCCACGTAAGAACCCGTGTTCGACCGTCGGAGTTCGCAGACCGGACCATTAGAGGTCCGCTTGGGGGAGTGGGGTGAAGGACGCCAATTCGAAGATGTTACTTCCGAAAACCAGTGCGCTGGTTTCTATCGGAGTGGTGGATGGTGCTCGCCCATCTGAATTCCGCCGTCTGAAATGGAGAGGTGGTTTCTCCTTGCTCATCTTCGTCTCTCCTCATTTCTCTTCCGGGAGAGGGAAGAAGGATGCAGGAGGTTGGAGACGATATAGCGGAAAACCTGAGTGCACCAGGCTCCTGATCAATGAGTGGGCTCTCTTTTTCCATTCTCATCCTTCTTCTGTGCACAGCATCGCCGCCCCACCTGCTGGCGACGGCAGCGCGCGACGTACTGGCGCCCGGGCAGGTGATCACCGGGAACCAGATTCTCGTGTCCGCCGGTGGGACCTTCGCCCTGGGCTTCTTCTACCCCGGTAGTGAGTCCTTTGGGAGAAAAAATCGTTATCTAGGGATATGGTACAACAGGATCCCCAAGATAACTGTGGTGTGGGTCGCCAACAGGGATCAGCCGGTCACCGACCCTGCTGCCTTTCTTACCGTCACCGAGGACAGGAACATCGCTGTGGTAGACTCAGAAAGAAGCTCTATGTGGTCCTCGGACGTGCCGGGCATCCCCAACGGAACTGTGGCCATGCTTCTGGACTCGGGCAATCTGGTTCTGAGACAAGAAAACGGGCAGGACGTCTGGCAGAGCTTCGACCACCCCACCGACACTTTTCTGCCTCAAATGAAGCTTCGCTACAACCAGAAAACAGGCATAGGCCAGAGGGCCATTGCGTGGAGGGACGTCGACGATCCCTCTTCGGGAAACTTCTCCTTCGGTCCGATCTCCCAACAGCTCGTCATCTGGAGAGGATTCAAAACCTACTGGAGGGTCTCCTACCAAAGCACTCTGGGCTGGTATGCAGGCTCTACGGGTGGAGTTCAGTGCTCAATCTGGGTCTCAAGGGTGGGAGACGAAGTCTCTTTCGGCATAACCGGCGCTGGGGGCTCTGTCCCACCGAGATGCACTCTGGTGCCCTCCGGAGAGCTGAAGTTTATGGTGTGGGTGGAGGCATCGAGTGAGTGGGTTCCGACGTCTTCGTGGCCAAGCAGGTTCTGCGATTTCTATGCACGCTGCGGGCCGTCGGGAGCCTGCAATAGCAACGCGAAACCGCCGACCTGCAGGTGTCTACAGGGGTTTGTTCCCAAGAACCAGACCGAATGGGAGAAGAAAATCTTCTCCAGCGGCTGCGTAAGGAGGGTTCGGCTCCAGTGCAGCAAAGGTGACAAGTTCCTGCAGGTGGAGAGTCTGAAGCTGCCGGATAGATCGAGGATCATTGGCAAGAAAACCGAAGCCGAGTGCAAGATCGAGTGCCTCTCCAACTGCCAATGCACTGCTTACAGTTATGCCAACACGAGCGTAGAGTCAGACGGTTACATCTGCCAAGTTTGGTACGGAGAACTCATAGATCTTTGGATCGACGATATGGACGGGAATGACCTGAACATACGGCTGGTGGCGTCAGAGCTGGGTAAGCTTTATTCCAATATGTCCCTTGTCTTAACATCGCAGAGCCCACATGATAATCCGCCATGATTCTGTTATCCTGCTCGCAGATAAGATGGAAAAATCATTCATGTTCCTTCTGCCGGTACTAGTTATCTGTGCACTCCTCGTATGGGCTGGCTCCTATTTCCTCGTGAAGAGGCTCAGATCACGCGGTAATAAATTATCCTTCATGTTATTTGCCTGGACGAAGAATGCGTAGCCGAACTGACGAATGATTGTCTTGAAGCCCGGAAGAGCACGGCCAGGAAGACGATGCTGTTAGAGGACGTCGACATTTCTGATTCGTTTGGAAGCGACAAAGGCTTCTCAGACGCGCCCCTGGTGGACTTGAAGAGTGTACGATGTGCTACCTGTGATTTCTCAGATACGAACAAGCTCGGCGAAGGGGGATTTGGTTCCGTTTACAAGGTTATTACCAGTAACTTGCCTCTTAGATCAGTGCTGTTCAGGAAGTAGTTCTAGTTTATACATCGCAACCGCGTAGGATGAACTCTCTTTTTCTCTCCCGCTCTCTCTCCCCTTTTCTTACTCTTCCTATTTACATACAAACAAAGACAGACACACACAAACACACACACACACACACACACACACACATATATATATATATATATATCAATTTATCATGGTATAAGTACATCTGAGTCTCTTTATTCAGGGGAAGCTGGTGAGTGGGCATGAGGTAGCTGTGAAGAGGCTCTCCAGGGGCTCCAAGCAAGGCCACCACGAGTTCGCCAACGAAGTCAGACTCATCGCCAGGCTCCAACACAAGAATCTCGTTCGTCTTCTGGGATGGTGCACCGACCAAGACGAGAAGATTCTGATCTACGAATACATGCCCAATAAGAGCCTCGACAAGCTCGTATTCGGTGGGTTTGTCTTCACTGGACTTTTATGATTCCGATTCTGCCGGGAAGGATTCAAGCTTCGCTATTTTCGTAAATAATTAATGCGGTTTTGTGTTATTACTGGGAACCAGCCAGATCGGAGGAACTCAGTTTGGAGAAGCGTTTGACGATCATCGAGGGGATAGCGGATGGGCTTCTCTATCTGCATCACCACTCTAGAATGCGCGTCATACACAGAGATCTGAAGACGAGTAATATACTTCTCGACAACGAGATGAACCCCAAGATCTCAGACTTTGGGTTGGCAAGAATATTTGAAATAAACCAGACCGAAGGAAATACTAGGAAGGTCGTCGGAACGTTGTAGGTTCTAATCAAGTTCCGAATCTTCTATCAGTTTCATCCTCCTATCGTGACTAATCTCGGTGAATTTCGGGCTGTGGGTGCAGTGGATACATGTCGCCGGAGTACGCCATAGACGGCGTCTTCTCTGAGAAATCTGACGTCTTCAGCTTCGGCGTGATCGTCTTGGAAGTTATCAGTGGGAAAAGATGCACGGGGTATTATCCATGTAGGGAGTCACTGAATCTTCTAGGATATGTGAGTTCCAGCCATCTGGTGTGCTTCTAGATTACATTGAGTTATAAGAATGGTTCTGGAATAAAGTATTTCGGGGAATTTGTATTAAACGTTTCCCCTTCCCTTCCAATTAATTTGCTTCTCACTCAATGGTGCAGGCGTGGGAGCTGTGGAAAGAAGACAGGGCCGTGGAACTCCTGGAGCCGGCAGTTAAGAGCTCATGCCAGGCGGACGAGGTTCTGAAGTGCATTCAAGTTGGATTACTGTGCATTGAGGAAGATGCGGCGGACAGACCCACTATGAATTCAGTCGTTTCCATGCTGAAAAGTGAAAGCAGTGTGTTACCATTGCCGAAGCAGCCTGGTTTTTCGTTTGGAAGAAATCTGAGGGTCCGTGTAGGCAGATCACCGAGATCATCCATTTATGGGTTGAGCGAGAGTATTTTCGAAGGGCGCTGAAGGGAAAATGCACTGGTGGAGACCGTCAAGCTGAGTGTGAGTAGTGATCCATTTAGGACTGTTATAATCCAAACGGGTCGTCTATAATTTTGATGTGTAGAGTTGTCCTAATACCAATTACTGAAATGAGATATGATGCACTGACCTTCTGTTGAAGAAGTAATATATATTTGGCACAGATCGATACAGTGGAAGCACAATCTCTGGATTATATAAATGTAAATGACACTGGAGTAATAAGCGATCTAGAAGGCAAACTCCTTAAGAATGAGTCTTTCAGCAAACATGCCTCTAGTCAGTCTCCAAAATAGCTTTAGACAAACCTGTGGATGTATCACCTTTTCTCAGTGTCTTCACCTGTGATATAGAGAGAGGAGAGGAGCCAAGATAGAGGGAGAGGAGAGAGGAGGAGAAGAGAGTCAGAAGGGAGGGGAAACTTCTCGTTTCATCTCTTCAGCAGCTACAAAACCAGTCCTCGTACACTCTTCGCAAGGGTTTTTAGTCCCAACTAATAAGATAGGAATGGGTCCCAATGGGGGCCTGTCCACTAAGGACAAAAGGGTAAATGGGCAAAGTCAAGACCCACTCATCTACTGTTGTTGAGATAACACCCCCTGACAAACTCCACCTTGGTAGACATCCCATCTACACTTGGAGCAGATGTTCTTCCATGATACAAGTTTTCTAACTTTTCAAAGTATATGCGATATGAATCAAGTCCAAAAAATGTTTGAACTTTAAACCTTGATGACCTTTGTTAGTATATTAGTGATATTTTTCTCTTTGTTAACTTTTTTTAGAGAGATATCTCTAGAATTTAGCAATTTATGAATCTTACGATATCACACATCAATGTGCTTTGACTATACATGATAAATTTGATTTTTCGTTAAACATATAATACTATGACTGTCACATAATAAAGAAACCTTACCTTATCAGATTTTAAACTCTTTCAACAATCTTTTCAATCACAAAGCTTCTTTTGCTACCTCTATAGTAGTTGATAAGGCTTCATTATCATAAATTAATAATTAATTAATAATATATTTCAAGCTTTAGCTCATCAGAAATAGATTTATATTTATGTTAAATTATGAAAAAGAGTTTTTATTTAGTTAATGTAAAATTTGACTAATTATGTGATTATATATATATTTATATAATTTTTATAATCAAAATTTTGAGAAAAATAAAAATAAATAAAATAAAATAAAAATATAAAAAAGGTTAGGGACCCACTGGCCACCCCAACCGACAAACGGGTTGGAAACATAATCTAAGTGGAGTTGTGAGCAAGAGGCTTGAGTGGTTAAGGACTGATTGAATACACGTGTGTGTCACTCCCCTTTTACGTCATTAGTGGCCAAAACTTAGAAAATAGTGGATGAGGGTCTAAATTGACATCATAACTTCCTATTTTTTTTAACAATTTTAGTACCTAAAATACTCTTTTTTTATGAGAAAAAAAACCTTATGATGTCACTGTATAAATGTATTTACATACTTATTTTACTTTCTCTCATATAGGCTGGCAATTGGTGAAAGTTTGAGTCCCATCAAAGCCAAAACTTATATTTTTATCTAATTAAATCATGATTTTTTTAAAGGTTACTTATCAATGATTAAGTCACTATAATCATTCAATTATTGATAAAAATATCAATATAATTTGTAGAGCATCATTACTAAATTATTGATCAATCATATATAAAAAGATCATGAATCAATTGAATAAATTATCTCTAATTAATTGATGAACAAGTAGTCATTGAAAAAAAGATAATCCATTGAGAGATGAGTTATCACCTTTAGCAAATTAGATGCGATGAAGAACCTTTTCTTATTGTGTGAACTAGAAGATGAAAGTTTTTAAGATGTGTCCTACCTCTATCTAGTTTATCTTTATTGGGTGATAGTTGTCGGATATTCTCAAAGTCACTATTTTTCTAATATGTCGAATGACAACTATTAGAGATGATTTTTCAATCTACCTTCTTGATTTTTAGACTTCACAAGAAGATTTAGAGATTGTCTACATCATCCTTATCTAAAAAAAATCTTTTAAGGCTATAGATATTATATGATAATCCTCCCAAACATATAAAATTTTGACGATTGCTATCATAAGATTAGAATTCAGCCTTTCTTACTTTCAATTTAATTTTCACTTAATTTAGTGATATTTTATGTGATTTCAAGTTTCAAAACTATTCTTTATTAAATTATGATTATTTTAGCTTTTATAGATCTTAATTTGACCAATTACTTTATTTGTAATTATTTATGTAAGAATTATTAATTAAAATTTTATTTCTAATTGATTCATGTTCATTAAGCCATTGATGTTATCATGATGTCCTTACCTTTATTTCACTTTTCATGAATTTTGAATATATTTTATCTTCATTATTTAGTAAAAAACTATAAAAAATCGTATTCTATGTTAAATGATTCTCTCCTTGAGGGTGCGACGACAATTTATAAGACCCTAGATGGAGGATTTTCCAAATAATGTAATCTAATATCTCTTTCTATTCTCATTCTACATCTCATGTCTCTTTTTGTGCTCATCACTTGACAATTTAGACTCTAACATTGGATACTATAATTTGGAAAACATTTAAACAAGTGATAGTTTAATTGAACTAAATATATACACATTAGAATGAGTTGTTACTAGATAACTGTATAACAAGAGAATGAATAGGAAGTACGTCCAGGTCAGCAAAATATCAAAGCAATTTTTTCCACATCCACACAGACTTGTGTATGGATTTAATAGTCCAAACAAACAACAACTGTCATCTGCAAGACTCACTTTAAGAGGAAAGTAAAAGAAATACCTAGAGAATGGGCTCTATGAGATCAGACACATACTATGCAGGGGCTAATCTCATCCACCCAAACGGTGCGACCAGCAGTGCTCCCTTATGGGGGAAACTACTGAGTGAGAGGGGGAGGGAGAAAGAGAAGCGAGAGAGAGAGAGGGAGAGAGAGAGGGAGGGAGAGAGAGAGAGAGAGAGAGAGAGAGAGAGAGAGAGAGAGAGAGAGAGAGAGAGAGAGAGAGAGAGAGATAGAAAGAGGAGGAAGGTAACTATAGAGCCAACCCACGTGGCAGAAAAAGCAGCATCATGTTGATGCGGATCATGGGCGTGATGGCCCTGTTACGTGTCACGATGGACCAGTTAACAGTCACCAAGCCATGGGACGCTGTAAAATGACACACGATATATACTTATATATCTATGTTACGGCGATGAAATGGTGCTGATAATGCAAGAATCGAATTGATGAGGAATGAGCCAAAGTGGCTTACTAAACATATAAGCTTAAAGTTACCGCATTTAATGTTAAATTACTATGCGAGCTGAAGGATAATACTCCACTGTCGTGATGCAAATGGAACAGGTCACTATCATTGTCCAGCCAGAAACCACATCACAGTTCCCTGGAAACGCCGGCAGGACTGTAAAAGATGCAAAATCAACGGCCAGCGCCTGCCGATGGTTTGTTGAGTTCTCGCTGGAGTTACGCCGCGGGAAAGATGCGACATCCATCTAAGAACCCGTGTTCGACCGTCGGACCTCGCAGACGCGACGATAAAGAGGTCCGCTAAGGGGATTTCCGAAAACCGGTGCACTAGTTCCCATCGGAGAGGTGGATGGAGCTCGCCCATCTTAATTCCGACGTCTGAAACTGAGATACGGCTTTTCCTTGCTCATCTCCGTCTCTTCTCACATCTCTTCCGGGACAGGGGAGAAGGATTCTGGACCTTAGAGACGGTATAGCGGAAAAGCGAAGTGGACTATACTCCAGATCAATGTGTGGGCTCTCTTTCTTCATCCTCATCCTTCTTTTGTGCACAATATCCCCACCCAAGCTTCTGGCGACGGGGGCGCGCGACGTACTGGCCCCCGGCCAGGCGATCACCGGGAACCAGACTCTCGTGTCCGCCGGCGGGACCTTCGTCCTGGGCTTCTTCGACTCCAGAAGCGAGTCCTTTGGGAGGAAAAATCGCTTCCTAGGGATATGGTACAAGAAGATTCCCAAAAGGACTGTGGTCTGGGTCGCCAACAGGGATCATCCTGTCACCGACTCCGCCGCCTTCCTTATGATGACCGAGGACAAGAACATCGCCGTGGTGGACTCGAACAGAAGCTTTGTCTGGTCCTCGGACTTGGCTGGTATCGCCAATGGCACGGTGGCCATGCTTCTGGAGTCGGGCAATCTGGTTCTGAGACAGGGAAACGGGCAGGACGTCTGGCAGAGCTTCGATCACCCCACCGACACTATTCTGCCAGAGATGAAGCTTCGCTACAACGAGAAAACGGGCTTAGCCCAGAGGGTCATTGCGTGGAGGGAGGTCGACGATCCCTCTTCTGGAGACTTCTCCGTCGGTGCCATCTACCACCAAATCGTCATCTGGAGGAGATCAGAGACCTACTTGAGGATCTCCCAGCAAAGTGTCTTGGGTTTGCAAGTAAGCTCTACAAGTGGAGTTCAGTGCGTGGTCTGGGTCTCACGGGTCGGAGACGAATTCTCTTTCAGCTTCTTCACCGTTGGGAGAACTGCCCCGGCAAGATGGGCTTTGGAGGCCTCCGGAGAGCTGAAGATGATGGTGTGGGTGGAGGCATGGAGTGAGTGGCACCCGTTGTGGATAAGGCCAAGCAGGTTCTGCGACGCCTATAATCTCTGTGGGCCGTCGGGAGCCTGCGATTGCAACGCGAAGCCGCCGACCTGCATCTGCCTACACGGGTTTGTTCCGAAGAACCAGACCGAGTGGGAGACGAGAACCTTCTCCAGTGGCTGCGTTAGGAGGGTTCAACTCCAGTGCAGCAAAAGTGACAAGTTCCTGCCGGTGAAAAGGGCCAAGCTGCCGGATAGGTCTAGGATGATAGACAAGAAAACCGAACTCGATTGCCGGGCCGACTGCATCTCGAAATGCCAATGCACTGCCTACGCTTATACAAACACGAGTCTAGACTCAGACGGCTTCA